CAGCTCGTGCTGAACACGCGTCACCGAGGGCCTTGCGCCGGGCACCTCCGCCGAGTATCTAGTGCCGGGCACCCCACATGTCAGGCACTACCTACGCCGGGCACTCCTCATACCGGACAGTTATCTCATGCCGAGCATTCGCCACTCGCCGGACAGTCACCCAACCGCCCGACTACTACAATGCCGAGCTGGTCCTCTTCATAAGGTAGTAATGACCGGATCACAACCGGTTCCTCATGAGCCGCTATTGACGACTATATCATGATATATAAAGTATAAACTAATAAAATAATCCGTTGTGATTTACTCCCTACGGGAGAAAAACACAAAACACAAAACACAAAACACAAAAACTGCAAGCACTAGAAAAACACAAAAAACACAAACCCCGCAACACACTAACTCAAAGACACAATACAAGCCCACTCCCGTAACGCCAAGGGATTCTTTAGACCTCCACCCCAAGTGACAACCTGAGGTCATTCCTCCAACATCTCTAGTGCCAAAAAGCAGACCCGGACGCACACAAACCAAACAACAGAAAACCAAAAAACAAACTAAAAAAGAGCCATCTTCCACAACTGACTTGCAACTCCACAACAGTCTTGCCACTAACCATCGAGAGCGACCACTCGCACGGTTAGAAACCCAGTGCATAAACACTGAACCTGAAATTGTTGAGAACGCCTAACAAGATCTAATACCCCAACCTAGATTCTTCCAAGGCACCCACTCTTGCACCATCAAGCTCGTGGCAAGCCCCAAATCACACCCCCTCACCAACCGGCCACAAGAGGTTGACAAACCACTAAAGCCAACGACCCAAAACCGCAGAGCAGCCCACCACCTAATCCAAGAATGCCTGGAAAGTGAGTGGAGCAAAGCACCAGACCAACCCCAAGCTCCAAAGACCTCACTAACCACCGACAGCCCAGGATGACCAGCTACCGGAGTTACGACACCCACCACCATCAACAACTTACTACCCCACCCCAGGGGTGCAAGAGAACATGGGAAATAGAAGGACTAACCTCGACTTCGACTTCCACCAGACATAAATCAGAGCAAAATGTTCAGCCACGCCATCGAAAAGACGAAACCACCTCAAGCACGAAGAGCATGCCCGAAGACGAAGAATTCTCAACTCGATGAGGCTCTAACCAGCTGAGAATCCTACCACTCAACGGGAGACTAGACACACAGAAGAAGCAACGACAGCACGCCCGTTTGGAAAACCTAACCACACGAGTCATCATTTTTCTCTCTCAACAGTCGTCATAAAAACGACCACAACAGGTGTGGTCCCTCGTCTGAGAATCGGATGTGCAGCGGGCAAGGGGTTGTCTCAGGAGTCGGGACTGATCATCGCGCAACCTGGACTCTCTGAGCCCATTCATGACATTAGTGGGCCGACGTTGTCCATGATGCAGCCTCCGTATCAAGGCTCATCCATATAGCAGTTCCCGGTTCCCTTGCCCCATGGATGACCCCCAACAGCTGCCCGTGGTCAGGCCGCCGCCGACTGTGGCTCCACCTCGAGGAGGGTCCCTGCCTAGGCCCTAAATTCCGATGGCTCATTCGCCATAGTTCAAGCTAGTTATATGCTTTTACCCGGTGGGTTCGGTCCTCCTCCAGGCCAGTTTGGACAAAGGCCCCCGATATGTTTTGTGTTTTGATGCTCAGTTACATCTAATTTAAGTTTAACACTCGATGATTTTTTCGTTGGTACATTATAATTTGGGTCAATGTTTTTTTTAATGATTTGTCGGATACTGTATGCATTTAGTTTATAATCAGTATATTACTACTTTTTTTTTTCTCGTCAATGACAATTGTGTCTTTGTTTTATATACCGTCTATGTATATAGTATATGGATACAAATGATTTTATTTTTTGGTCTTCATTTTAATATTGTGATATTATGGTATGCTTATTTTTGGTTTATGCATTCAAATTTCATATAACTCTAGTTTTGAATCTTCGACACATATTACTTAGCCTGACTGAACAAAGTCAACAACAAAACACTACAAATACAATTTATATATTGTACTAACTGGATAACAGAAAAATGAATTGTCAAACTATAGAATCAATATATCATAATTACTTTGTGACATTTTAATTTTTATGTTATTCATTGCTTTCGGTTCCTTGAATATTACAACAAAAACAAACACTTTTTTTCCCTTTTTTTTTCTCTTGAAATATCTGACACCGTGACTTGGCCAGTGAGGCCGAATCGGGTCGTGACCACCCACTCGTCACCACTCATAAGTGCAATCGCGCCTCCCTCAGCCGACGACCTCAACTCTAGCCGCCAGTTGGATTTTTCCTCAGCTAAGAAGTGCATCCAAACCTCATCAACCATCTTACCACCGCCAGTTTTGCAGTCATGGTAACTCACCTCGAGCAGTTGTGTCGCACTCTGCGCCGAGCCTTGGCGAGTCGCAACATGCCTTAGTTTGGAGAGGAGTCCATGAATAGTTGATCATTGAAGTCGATGCAATGATGCGAACGGACAAAGAGAGAATTAGATTTTTGGGGGGAGTTTGTTGGGGGTATGTAGAGAAGAATAATGTATGAGTTACCTGATTTTTGTATCAACTACTTATTTTTGTGCTTTGATTTTTGAAGAGAGATTATAAGATAACTAAATGGCATACGCGGAAAACAAATATTTTGTTGCAGTTGTAATCTAAAAATTCACCTAGCATAAGGTGGGCGTTAGGAAAGATATTGCAAACAGATATGTATTTCAGCCATAAAATTTACATGGTACCGTTTATTTATTAGTGGATTGATGCTAAATTACTATTAGTAATCAACCCGTGCATTTGCACGGAGGAGAATAATTAGAAGAGTTACGAATATAAATACAAAATCATGATTTAATTCAAAAAGAAAATATGAATTAAGAAAATGATTCTAAATATTATTAAACACTTCTTTGTATACAACATTCAAAGTTTTCCTATCGTCAAAATCACTATCACCACATATCATTATCTTCAAACCCTTCCGATTTGTGACTCTAGAAAGAGCCACGTACAACTGTCCATGACGTAAAACAGGGTTCTTCAAGACTAAACCGACGTGTGAAAGAGACTGGTCTTGACTCTTGTTGATCGTCATAACATAGGACACCATAATTATGTATTTGATAGCAGATTTTGAATACAACATTCAGAGATGTTTGATAGCATATTTTAAATTTTTAAGAGTACTATGTGTTTTTGCAAATTTTTTTAAAAAACAAAAAGGAATTACATTTCAGCTTTAGGAATAAAGTAAATTAGATTATGAAGAATTAATTCACACATTTTTTATTCATTATTTAAGAAATTAGAGCAAATAAAATAAATTAAATATATATAATGAAATGATTTCTCCACCCACATGTATATAAAATTAATTGTATGATTTTAGCACGATGTTATGATAGTGTGATGTATATTACAAATTAGGGTATTTTTTTTTCAAATTTTTTATTATTTGTTGCTTTTGTTTAATGATATCACATTTTATAATAATAGTTATTTAAAGTGATAGTATGATATTTAATAATAATAGCTAATATTTCCTTTGTTAATTTATTTACTGTAATTTTTTAGGTACAATAGCAACAACATATTGGAAATTGATATTTATATCAATTTAAATATGTAATTTTGAAGTTTGATTTATTTTTTGATTATTTACAACTAAAATGATTATATATCAATGCTTACACGTTTTATGTCCAATAATTCAAATAAAGTGCATGATTTAAGGTTGTAATTTAATTCAATAATAGAAGATAACTGTTTCAATATAATACGATATATGATTAAATGCTGAAAATTTTGGTATAAAATTAAATGCTCAAAATTTGGAGGGATAATATAATTAAATGCCAGGTAATATAATTTAATGCTTTGTTGCTCCAAATTATATATATATATACATATATATATATATATATATAGATATTGGATGTCGTTTAGAGGTTTGACCAATAATTCGTTAATTAGCTTGTTTAGTAATAAACTTATTTGAATAATTTTTTAGACTAAAATGGTCAATTTACAAGATTAAAAAAAGCAGCGTTTTGAGAAGACATGAGCAAAAAAAAAAAAAAAAAA